ATGCCACTTAATAATACTTATTACTATTACAGTGAAGGGAAAACACAGCATACATTGGGCTAAACTGCTGATTCTCTTCCTGAAATCTCAGATAACATCATATAGATTATTCTGCTTAGCTTTTCTCAGCGTGTTACCCATTATATCTCTTTGGTTTTAATTTATTGTTTTTCCTCGACAGGGGTCCTCCTGAACTCTGGGAATAATGTAAATGTGTCTCCCTGCCTTTGTAGCAGTTAAACTGTGCTGCAGTAAATTAGCTATAAACTGATGCAAACATGATGTAACATTAAAATTCTTCACCATAAAGCATTTGCAGACTCTTGATGGGAGATGACCTGCTAGTTTGTGCAAAGGAGGAGAGATGAGGAGTGATGAGAGGTAGATTTGTTCATCCATTTTGATGGCACACCTTTCTGGGGGCATATGGCACTCTCATACAAATTCCAACCACAGCACAAATGGGAAGAATAATTGCCCATTAAAATGGCTGTATATTTTTATGGCTTTGATACAAAATCTGCCCCCTGTTGTTTTTTGCATCTGCTGCTCTTTCATCTATCCCAGAGCTTTAAAACTTTAATACACAGTGTATAACCCTTAAGTATTTTTTGCCAGGTTATATCCCTCTTTTTGGGAGCTCGAGCTCTGTCATTGTTCCTCTAGTCTTTGTTTTCCCAGGCCTATGGTGAGATGTGGTGCCTAGAAAGTCCACCTCCCTGTCCTATTCATTTAATACAAAATTAGTAAAACAAATGCTTCTATTGCATCTTCTGGGACAAATTAAGATTTGATTAAATTTCATCTGTGAACACAAAGATTAAGTTTGTCTTCCTCATGCTCATATTTGTTTTTTGTATAAAATTGTTAGTTACCTAAATTTTACTGATATACTAACAAGAATCCTTTTAATTCCAGAGGCTTTTTAATTTGCTTAAATGTTGTGATTTGCTGACCTGATTTCATGTTTGAGATCTAAGCTGAAGTTCAGTGGAGGAGGTGTCCTGACAGTGTTTCCAAGTTTACAAAGTTTAGGAAGAGAGAACCCAATATTCATTGTAGTAATACATTTTAAAATTTTAACCTTTCAAGTATAAAAATAGAACAAATAAGTTTAAAGAAGAAATCTCACCAGCATGATGTTCCTTAAAAAAATCATTTAGGCTGTAGAAGAAGATGATTTGTATGCTTTCGGATAATTATATGAAGCAAAGCCAAGCACTTCCACAGCATATTGCTTATACTCTAATTTTTTAATTTGAAAAAGTAAAAGTGCAGTTCAACTGTAGGAACTGAATTTCTGTGGTTGCTCTTGTAGTCTCATTCATATTTGAATAGTTGAATGAATAATTATAGAACTGAGGGGCTATTAGATGAAATTATAAGTTGTCTCTATGGCTTGATATTTGACCACATGCTGTCCTTAGAAAAGTCTTTTTTTGTTTTAACCTCATATCATCAATGTGTATTGGGAGAAATCTGCCTTTTGTGTGTCACAGATCAGAAGGATTCCAGTCATCAAATTACTTTGATGATTTTAAGCCACTTTTGCTTAGAAGTGGGCTCAGATGCTTCCCTGCTGAGAGTCAAACACATTTTCAACCCCATTATAATAGCATTTTCACTGACTGAGTTGCAGCACTTTGGCACTCAGGCACTAAGGAAGGTTGACCTACAAACTGTAAGTCATTAAAATCTTTCCCCCTCCTGGCTAGTATATTCATTACTTTTGGGACTGGTTAATAGCATTTAATGCTTCCTGATGGGACAACTCTTTTCATAAAACTGTTTTTATGAAGTCCATTCTTCAGTTGTGTTCTAATGGTGCCACTTCTGCTGGTTATTTTGGGGTGAGGATATTAAAAAGTTGGTAACAAAATAAATTCTGTGGTTACTACATATTCCTGACCACCTGATTTCTCAGCTGGCCTGAACTAGCACAGTGTTTTTGCTCTGAGCTGAAATCTAGGGTGACAAGACTTGTTGCTTATTTTTCCTCTGATCTTAATCTTTAATGTTACTACCTGGAAATAAAAGGCATGTTTTCAGATACTCTGATTTTCAGATGGACCCAAATCAGTTTTTTGGGATGGATATAATTCTGTTGTGCTTAAACTCAACTGTTAGACCTCACTTGATCATAAGACCTTGCAATACTACTCTCAGTCCCATGTTTCTCTTGTTTAGTTTCCATCCCATCTGATCCTCTTCCTGCCAGAACTGCAAATCCCTGCTCTGCCTTCTACTAGTTGCTTCTACAAGCTTTTTTAGTGCTTTGCTTTACTTTAGACATTTTATGTTCCATGACTTTGTTGGAAGGAAACAATGCAATGCAAGCACAGCAAAACAATTAGGTTCCTTCAGGCTTTTGATTCTAACACCTCTTTGGGTTGCAGATCCTTTGGAAATGGTGGAAATCACTGTCCTGTCTTAGCATCTCCCAGGAATGCTGTGCCACTATTCCAGGGTTTGGATTTGATAGGCACTTGGGGGCTAAGTGACTTTTCCTGTTGGCTCTGTTTCTTGCTTTTTCTCCTCTTTCATAAGATAAAGCCTTCTTTCTCATAAAAATGTAATTTTATATATATAATATATAAATATATATACATAATATATAAATATATATACATAATATTATTTTTGGCTCATTCATTGATGGGGCATTCTGCTTTTCCAGTGACATTTCTTTGTAGAAAGTATTCAGTGCCAAAGATTTGAGGTCATTGGCCCTTCCTATAGTTCTTTCCAAGGTGTGACCATGACAAATACAGAGCTGGATTGAAAGGTAGAATTCAAAGGCTAAAAAATGCTCTCAGAGCACATTAAGAGCTCACACTTTCACAGAGGTGTATCCTCAGTGTCTCTTGCATTTAAATATGACCATTTAAATGTGTTGTTTGTATTACCTATTGTAAACTATTTAAGGAATTCTCACTCACAAACACATTCTCTAAGGGACTGAAGTGAGCAAGGCACCACGTGGTCCAGCCCTCATGTTTTTCTCATGCATTGCTAATTTTCATCTATAAAATTTTATTTATTAGACCCCTGCACCTTTTATTTGTTTGGTTGTATAGGCAGAGAGTTCACTCTATCAAAGGAACCACAGCATAGACTTGTAGATCTTTCTGCTGTAATTATGTCTTCAGTCCACTGAAAACTACATTTTACATTTTCCTAAGTATATTGTCTTAATTTTTACCCAGGACTGTATACATGGAAAGGAAAAGGACAAAAGTTACATAGTTTCAGCAGTAGGTCATAATTCTAGAACTCCTATATTTGTACTGTTCAATATTCAGTGTTATTGAATATGCAAAAGTGCTTACAGCATTTAAATCTGTATGATATATATTTGTTTTTTCTCAAAAGAATGCTTTCTATTAGTATTTATTTAACACTTCTTAAATACTGTTGCTTGCAAAGTTATCAACAGTATATTGAGTTCTGCAAGTTCATCTTGCTGATTTTGACACACATTCTTATTACAGAAAGGAATAAAAATCTGGTATTTGCACTTTTTAAGACAGTTCTAATTTATTTGTATTGCTGTAAGGTTGGTTTATATTGTATCACAGACAAGTAAATCTTTGCAGAACTTACTGTATAATCTTTTTGTCAGTGAGAAGGACCTTGCAAAGCCCCACAGCAGTAAGGCAATAGTGGAAAGTCACCACAATGACAATATTTACCTTCACATGTTCAGCCAGCAAGGCCTATGAGTTGTGAATTTTTCATTTCCTTTTTCAAATTCAAGGCTTCTTTTAAAATTTATTACCTAAACAGATGAAAGACCAAGGAGGTTTGAAATAATTGTTTTTCAGATTTGAAAACCTCAGTGTTTTATACATCATTATTTCCGTTTACTTACTCCTTATTAGGGCTTTAAAAAGAAATGTTTATTTCTTTTATCTCTTTATTTATAAACTAAAAAAAAAAAAAAAAAATCAGCATAGTGAAGCACAACTGATGCAACCTGAGTGCCACAGAGCTGGATTTGATTTTTTTCTGTCTCACTGATTAATTCATTCAAGAAATACCTGTTCTAACATTGAGAAACAATGTATGTACACAGGAGACATGAAATAATGAAGTCTGGTTAAAAAAAAAAGCAGAGAAAGAAAAGTGTAAAGTTTGTTTGGTTGCTGGGTTGGATTTTTGTTTCTTTTTATAATTAAAAGTTTATTAAGAGTACAGTTTTACAGACATTTTACAGAAAAAAAACCCCAAGCCTCTAAGTAATACTGTATTACTGTTCAATTTCTGATTAAAATATTTTAAGTCTCACATGGAACTATAATTAATATTTACACTTAGTTGCAATGACAATATAAAAATGTCTGGGTTAATTTCTTTATTTGCTTTAATTGCTTCTATTTGGTCTGAATATTATCTGAATTCAGACAGATATTTCTAAACTATGCAACTCTTGCCTTTGAAGGAATGAAAGGTACTGTTATGAATGTGGTACAACCCAAAAAAAACCAGAAAAGAGAGAGAAAACTCTTTCTTTCCATGGTTACACAGTTAAGACCCAGTTAATAATCAGCTCTTGAACAAAAGCAAAGCTCTGTTCAGTTGCCAAAATCACTGGATAATGTAGATGACCCGAGGTCACCTAAATGTCTGATGTCTCACCCTCACTCAAAATAGAGCTGACTTTGGAAGGCAGATCCAATACTACGATGCAAATGTCTCTGACCTTATGAGTTGGAGCCTGAACTTGGACCTCAGGAGTCTCCTGGCTGAACTAGCCAACATTCTTTTTAATAGTGTGCTCTAAGAAACTGAGAGCCACCTCTGATAACATCATCCAAATTCCCAGTTTGTCCTGTTTACATACAAAGATTTTCCGTGTAAAGACGATCTAAAAGACTAATAATTTACTTATTTGGTGACTCCCTCGTCCAGTTACAGGTAATAAGCATAAACATGCTGCTTACTTCAGAACACTGGACCTGAATGTTGCCCGTTAATCCCTGTTTTTTTTCCCCCTGCAGTGCCAGGATTTCCCTACCCTGCTGCGACCGCAGCTGCCGCTTACAGAGGTGCCCACCTACGAGGCCGAGGTCGCACGGTGTACAACACGTTTCGTGCAGCAGCTCCCCCTCCTCCTATTCCAGCCTACGGCGGGTAAGGAGCTCAGTTTTCCATGCCTTTAGCATGGAGCTCAGTTTTCCACACCTTCCAGCATGGGTTTCACAAGGCTACACACTTTTATTTTTGTGGTTTTTTTTTTTGGCCGTGGCTCACCGCCGACACCAGGCCCGGGCTGCACCTTGCCCAGGGTGTTGAAAAATGACTGTAATTTGTACTGCCATGGTTGGTGGCCTCAAGCATTTCAGATGTCACATGTTGTTATGTAAATGCTCTCAGAAACGGGGAACGCTTTGGAACGGAGAAATCGTTTCGGCTAAAAGATGTATTTTTGATGATTGCAAACATCTGGTTATTAAGGAGGTTGGATCAAGTTAATCCCTTTTTCTTCAAATCGTCTACTGAAAGTTGTCTCTGGACCTGAAAGCTTAGTGCTGTATTTATTTTATTTTTTTTATTGCAGTTTTCTTAGTTTTTCCAATTGCCACCTTTGCCATGATAGAAATCTGGGATGCTTCTCTCAGGACCATGGTTTTGGAGTATGTTTGCCTAAATAATGCCTTAAGATTTCCCTGTCAGTGACCTGCATTTACTAAAACCAACCAGTAAACTAAGGAACAAAGAGGAATTCATAGTAGTAATTTCTAGAAATTTAACAATCTTTATTTCAGAAGATGATTGGGATTTTAAGTGTATTTTTGAGGGAAAGAAAGAAGAAATAAACTCTCCTATAGCTCTGCAAATGTTGACACAGAAGGGCTTTGTATGCTGCGTGTGATGTTTAAAAACCCTAAAAACATTGATAAAAGATTTTCAACTGTTAAGAAATTGGGAAACCTGCAAAATCAGAAAACTTACCGGATCTCAGGCCAGAGTAGCATTTTGTCCTGAAAATTTGAAGTGGATTTGCTGCCACCTCTCTGTAAAGCAGCCAGATCTTCCTGAGAAGGGGTCAGGAAGGGTTGGCACAGGCAGCAAGGGAAGGTGATCTCGATCTCTGCCCACACTCAAATCCCATTCAGGAGCTCATCTGCTCCCACAGGGAATATCCTCTTGTACAGGAGCTGGCAGCAGAGCCTCTTCTTCTCCTGCTCCATTCCTTAGGCAAGTTTGCTAAATCTCATCAGTCAGCCTTCAGGCTGAGTTTTCAGGGATATTTAAGACAGGCAGTTTCACCATTCCATCAATTCTGGCAGTTATTATGTCAGACAAATTAGATGTTCTGAAAATGAATATACAAATGATGCCACAAAATCAGTTTATTTTGTAAAAGTGTGCTCTGTTGTTTTATGTAAGTTTTTCGTAAGCAAAATAATATTAATTTAATAAGCAAAACAGTATTGCCACTACTGCAGGAAGGCACTGTGGTTTCTGAAGATTACCTGAGTTACCTTCAGGCAAGGATGGTGTCCCACCAAGGTTATCCTACTGTTGCCCAGACTCTCATTTAGAGTTAATCAAGGTATTGGACATGGCAATGATGGGAGCAAGTTTAGAATGTCCAACATTCAGATTTCAGTCAGAATGTCTCAGCTACCAAGTGGATACTGCATATAAAGAAAGTGGATTCTCGGTCTCTAGCTCATTTAAAAATAAATTCTTAAATTTGAACATAGAATGCAATATGTAGTGAGACAGCAACATGGGTCATTGCCAATGGCATTAATCATGATGGCAATAATCATGATTAACACCTTAGTTTAATGTGAAGTCATGAAGTTATATAAGAAAATACCTACCAGTATTGGATAATACTTTTTCGGTTAGTATTTGCCAAATGAGTAAATACTTTCTGACTAGTAGGTAACTTAAATTTGCCCTAATTTAAGAGGCCACGTGGGTGCTCTCTGTGTATATGTATGTGGGGTAGCTTTTTTTTTACAGATTTTTGTGGTTCAGTTAGTACAGTGACTCAGCAGAAAGAATTACATTTCCAAGTGCCATACATGTATATCCTCATGTAATTGTGCTGCTCGTTTTCAGCATCTTTAGGCAGTAAGTTAGATGTGCAAGTGCTGAGAAGTCCTGTTGTGAGCCAGTACAGCAGTTGTGCCCTGCAGTCGGGTTCAGCAGTGTTCCAGCTGAGCTGGTTTCCAAGGGGTCAGCTCAGCACTCTTCCATCCTTCTGCAGGGTGGTTTCACAGTCAGGTTGGATGAGTCTCATTTCCTTCATGGCCTGTCCTTAAAGCTTCAGAGTGAGCCACGTGTTGCATGGCTCAGGAGTCACATCTTCTCACTGCCCTGAGTGCTCCCAGCTGTCTGAGATGGACCCTTGGTAACCCAGGGCCCACCTTCCCAGTCTAAAGTGATTTGACTCTGCCAAAGTTTTCAATTACTAAGCCCTGTCCTAATTCAGGGAGGTTGTAGCTCAGATATTAGTCAGGCTTAATTTTCTCCATCCACCTCTGGGTTATAATAAAGCCCTGCTTTCTGATGCACAACACAAATTGCCCACTTCCATAATTAATGGATCAGTGCAGGAATAATGCATATCTGTGTTGCACTGATCCACAGCTGGATTAATAAAGCTTCATTCTGACATAATTTCTCTGGCCTAATGTGTTAGATCTTGTGCTATAACTTCACTGATGCAGTTTGGAATTCCTTTGTGATACTTTGTTCTGCGCTCACCCATTATGTAATCTGACCTATTAAAGAAGCAAAAAAAGGAATTTTCATCAGCAAAAATCCTTAATCAATGAAAATAAATTATAAGAATGTGGTTTGCAGTCACAATGGGAGTAGGAGTTGAGAAGAATTACAGAGATAATAAAGAGATCACAAGGAATGAATCAACTCAGAGAAGGAAGCAAACAACTTGGAATATCATTTGTTGATAAGAAAAATGGAAAAAGCTTTAAATGCTGTTTTGCAATTAATTTAGTAAAAATTTCTCATTTTTCACCCAAAGAAGGAGCCCAGCCTTACAGCCAAGCAAATAGTTTCACACTTAAGTATTTTCAATCATTAGAAAAACCCCACACATTTTCTATAATGACAGATATAATTTTAATTATAAATTTACATTGAGTTCCACCAACATTTAGTTAGAAAAATATTGCTTTTCTTTTCGAAAAAGAACTTAATTGTAAAATATAAATCTGAAGTTTGAAATTACCTCTTTTATTTTATTTGATTAACCTTAGGAAGCTTATTGCTGAGTAATACCTGATCTGAAATAATCTCCTTCACACTTCCTTGTTTATATTACATTGTTTTGGAACTGAAGCCGAATTATTTTGCTTTGAAGTTGAAAATCAGCTGTAAAGCTGAGAGCATGTATTCCTTAGACTGACACTGATCTCTGAGCAGCTCTGCCCCCCAGGTCCCTGCTCTCTAACAGGTTCCTTCTACTCAGTCTGCCTGGAATCTGTAGTTGTTCTTCTTCACTGGTGTCCTGTTTGGTAGTGACTGTGACCTTTTCTTAGAAGCTGTTTATTGACCAAGTTAGGAAAGGCAAGGAGTCCCAGGCTCAAAGGAAATCTAGATTTTGTGGTCTTAAGGCAAAAGAAGTTCGTGTGGTTCCTACTGAAAGCTCTGCTGTGCCTCCCACTTACTGGGGAACAGAAGACATGGGACTCTTTGCTAGGTCTGAGGAAAATTGTTGAGTATAACCATATTCCAGGCCATTTTTTTCTTATAAATCAGAGAACAGCACACATGCTTTAAAATGTGTCATTTAAAAATGAAATTACTGCTCATGAGATGCATAACTTTATCTCAATAATTAATGGATCCTTTACTTACGAGTGAGGCATTTCACTAATTCCTTGAGCTAGCATCTTGTTTATCAGCTCATGGAAAATACTTCCATTTTAGCACCTGTGGCATCCTCTCTAATGCCTTGTCACACTAGAATGTGCAGTTTAGTCATAGCTGCGAATGTATAATTCATTTATGTCCCATCAAACCTCACTGACACTGAAATGAGGGAGTAAAAACTTTTTTTGTGTAAGAATACTGAGTGCTGAAATTTAGAGTGTGGAGGTCTACATTGCAGGGAGAGCTCAGCCTTGACACTGCAGGAGAGGGGAAACAAGGGCTAGTGAGGTTCTGTATGACATGAGTGGAGAACAGCAGTCAGAGCCTGTCCCTACAGGAGGATGTTGTCTTGGCTAGGAAAGGTACTCCTGGGGCAGATTTTGGATTTTTTTTTTCTCTTTGGCAAACTGTTGAAAGCAGGCTAACTGATTTTAATACCTGTAACTTTTTTTTGGCCTCTGTAGCAACTAGAATGTCAGCATTCCTTGAAAATCATTCACCAAACAGGAAAACAAGATGAATATGAAACTCCACCTTTAATTTGCTGTCAAGAAAACCCAGAGTCACTGTATGTCTGGTAGTATAGCAGATAGAAGTATTAGTAAAACTTGTGTTCCAGCATGATTTGTTTAAAGTTCTTCACAGGTTTAGAGTGTGATGACTTTGTATTCTGTGTCCCCTCTGCTCCTTTCAGTTCTGCTGAAGCTAACAGAGCTTTCAGTCCATACCTCCACTTCTGGTGTCTCTCCTGGGAAAACAGGAGATAGGAGAAGTAACAGAGACTATTCAGAAATTGTTCCCCTTGCTAAAGTAAATGTTTTCAAGTGCTACAGTCTAGCTGATTCAAAATGAAAGAAAAACCAGCTTTATTTTCCAACACTTATTCTGAATTTAAGAAAGAAGGATGATTAGTATACACTACTACACCTCCTGTGGTAGTTATGGGTTTTTTCCAATATATTTCTTTAGGCTCACAGAAACTTCTTCTTACTTTGGACTCTGTATTTTGTGTATTTGTGCAATTGTTACAACAAAAAATGTTTTTTGCCAGTGCATAGTGATTTATGTCTGCCAGCTTTGTTCTCTGCAGCAATGCCCTCAGTTAATTTTCCAAAGCAGATAATGTAACTTGTTCATGGCAGAAAATGTTCAAACTGAAAGTACAAGAACCTGGAATTAGAGAACATTCTAAAAAGTTGAAACTGCTTCATACAAGAGCTTCAGTTTTCTGTTTACAACAGTGAAAATGGTGCCATTACAGTGTTGAAAGGTGCTACATTAATTATCAGTGTTTGGTTTAAATAAGGCTGCAGTTGCATCTCTTCTATCATTTGTTTCATGAAGGCTTCATGTGAATGGTTTCATGGAAAAGGTGATTTCCAGAGCAGGAGCTGGATAATGTGTAGGACAGAGAAGGTGACCCTAACAGCAATTAAAAAACCAGAACCTCTCTTTTTTAGTTGTGATGGAGAAGTGATGGTGAACTGCAGACATGATTCCTATTGCAAATAATAAAATGATGGTTGTAATGCCCCTTTGTTGCCCTGAATCCATCACTCCAAGGCTCTGAATGTGCCTTAGGTTGTCCATGTCACCCTGTGCAGGACGTGTGTGTGGCTGAGGGCCACAGATACTCAACTGCCATGAAGTTACTCAACTAAGGTTTGTGCAGTCCAGAACTGTTGTTTTATGTCATTGATAGATTATTCAACTCAATTCTTTTGAAAGATGAGGATAGAAAATTATAATGAAGACAGATGTAGTCCTCCCAGGATATTTTAAAGGCGGAATCTAAACTAGTAAAGAGTTTGTCTTAATATAGTTACAAAAAATGATTATAAGACACAGAGACTTAAATAAAGGAGGTAAACCCATGAAAGTCAGATATATAATACCTGGTGAGGAAACAGGTTCATATTTATAGAAAAATAATTTCAGGAAATTATTGCCACATATGATGTTATTTAGATGCACATTTTCTTATTAAATCAAGACTTCTCAATTCTCTGAATTTTCCTTAGCACAATAAAATTATAAAAAACAACTGAATAGATGCCCTGAATTTGTTGTTCTTTTTTTAATGCCCCCGGGTAGCACATTAACACATCATCTATTCCTGGGTGAAGTAATTCAGATTTCAGTAATGTGGTTATTTGAAGACCCTGTGTTGGTTTATAAGGAGCATGATTTATCTGTCTGCCAAGACAATTCTTTTTAATATAAAGTGTAAAAGGAGCTGTGGTAAGAGGGGTCCCCGTGTGATGCCTTCAATCTCTTCCCATGCTTAAGACATATCATCTGTTTTCTGCCTACAGCTTCAGAGAGAGGAAAAGGGGAGATAAGCCAAGCAAATTACCCTTTGGAAAATTATATACTGAAGTTCTTGGTGTTTTACACTTTGTCCCTTGGGTGAAGGATGCTGTTAGAGAACACAGTTGCCTCCACTGGCAAGATTCAGTCATAGGAGTCAATGAGTGACAAGGACAGTGAATAGAGGAAATATTCTCTGAAAAATCTATGAAAGTGTGAAGAATTCCTTTTCTTCAAACTTCAGGAGAAGCAGAAGGGGTTTTATTTAACATCACTATCGTAATACAAGACCAAAGGGAGGAAATAAGATAAAACCAGCTGATTCTTTTTTGTAGTGCAAGTCCTGTTTGGGACTGTTATACTCAGTTACCTGATTCCATCATTTGATCTTAATATTGGCCATGTTAATGATGGAATTACACATATATATCTCATTTTAGAGATAGGTACATTTTTTTCAGCATAGTATTTATGAAGTGATTGTATTTTTAGAGTTCAAAATAAGCTTCTGTCTGTGCATGACTGAGAGTTATATGTAAAAGGAAGACTGAGGTGGATGAAGGAACCTATCCAGGGTTACAACCAGCTGCACTTAGTAATGAAATATTTATCAGCCCCATTCATCTTCCCTGTATATCCACAGATCACCACGAGGAGGAAGAAAAAAAGGTCCCCTTTCTGACACATAGTCTCTCATTATGCATTATTTTCTGAGTAGCAATGTTTAATAATAATTGAGAGTAGCATGTTTTAATGTCCTGTGGTAGGTTGACCTTGGCTGGCTGCCAGCCCCTCACCCAGCTGTGCCCCCCTTCCCCAGAGTACAGGGAGAGGAACTCAAATGGAAAAGCTCTTGGGTTGAAGGTAAAGGCAGGGACATGGCTCACAAATTAACATCATGGGCAAAACAGACTTGAGGAATGAATATAATTTAGTGCCTTTTGAAGTGCAGTTGGATGGTTAGAAACAGAGACAGAACCTAAACTACCTTCCCCCAATTCCTCCACTGTTTCCCAGCAGGAGTGGACAGGGATGTGAGGAACTGAGGGTTGTGGTTGAGGGATCTTCATCTTCAGCAAACTTAGTATAATTTGTATATCATCTCATAAAAGTCCTTCCATGTTGTTCATGATTGTGTGCTCCTACCTCACAGCCATGTGGAAAGTTTTATTTCTTACTTGCAAACAGGTGTAAGAAAACCATGGAATGTCTCAAAATAATCAGAATATCAAACCAAAATGAAGGTACAATGCAATGTAAACAACAAGCTCCTTGAAAACTGCCAGTGTAGACTGGGTTTTGCCTATTTTGTTCTGCAGACATAATAAATAAAAAAATACACGAGTAAAGGTCTGACCTCACTGAAACAAATGGCAGACGCTCTGATTTAAGTGGAGCTGAGTTTTCACACATTATTATTCCACAGCAAACTTTTATCATCAGTGTGGTTTTACCCATGTCGCTTGTGTGCATGTATGCATATTTATGATTTTCTCAAGTGATTCTGACTTAGACACATATCAGCTCAGCCCTGTGGGTTTTGGTCATTGACCTCAATAGATCACTTATATTTCTGACATGAAAATTCTTGTTGGAATTGCAAAACAGCTCAGACTAGCAACTTGGTAATAACTATTATTCCTAGATAATAGTATTCCCAAATTGAAAATACTGTTGCAAAAAAACCCCTATTGTGTGCTCTCATATTTAGCTCTTGAAACAGCTTGGGTTGATTCTGATAGTGGAAATACCCATTTGAAGTTGCAGAACTGCCAAATGAATGTAAAATTGCAGGAATTACATAATGTGTGTAATTGGTAGGCCACTGTTGTGTAGTTCCAGTTTTATTTAGTGTAATCATTTAAACTGTCTTTGTCATACTGTGTCATTTATCCTGAAGGGTTTAGAATCTGAAATTTGCACTACATGCACTGATGACTTATCTTAGCTGAAATACCACAGTCTCTTGGTGAACTGTTAACAGCAATATAATAATACCAACATTTTTTGAGGTAGGAAGTAGTAATGTATCCAACCAAAACTGCAGGGGACCTCAGAACCATTGGCATGTTCACTTTGATTTTCATTTTGAAATGATCAAGTAAGGAAAGTTAATATTTTTTTTTTCATAAGAATAACACCATGACATTCTCAACAGACCTGTTGTCACTATGGGAAATGTGCATCAAGCCAACAATGCAGAACCTATGGATTCTCTCACCTCTGTGTGCATTGAGGTATTGAGATTTGACCCAGTGCATAGAATATCAACAGCATAATTATTTCACCCACTCCTCTCAACATAGAAACTTATGCTGTGTTTTGTTTTCCATCTAAGTAATGACAATTACGTCTTTATTTCAGAGGGTTGGCATAATTGCAGGACAAGGAAGTAGCACTTCAAGAGTTAGCTTTTTGTTAATGTATTGAGACTGATTGTAGGATTGGCCCACTGAAAATTTTTATAGAAAAAAAAAAAGGCAAGAAAAAACCCCTCAGCCTTATCACAAGTTTTTTCCAATCCTGCCATGCTTTGTCTCCCTTTGACCAAGCATTTGGCCCTCTCTATAAGTGGATGTATTTGGTACAGTTTCACTTCTGATAATTACCACCAACCTCCTTAACCAATGTGAAGAGTGCCTTCCTTCCCCCTTCCCTCTGTTCTTGTGACAAGACTAACCTCAGCTGTGCAGGGGTTGGTGGCATTTGCATGTGGAAATGCACTAATATGGATGTTTTTCTTTGTGTGTGCATCCTTGCAGTGTTGTATACCAGGATGGATTTTATGGTGCAGACATTTATGTAAGTATTCATTGATGTGCATGCTGTCCTTGTACATTACCAGAGTCATTCTTTTTACAAGTTTGCTGCCTAGCTTGACTCTGTTTTGTCTATTTACCATCCCTTGCCTGTCAGAAAGAATTGAGAAGAATATCTCTCACATTGGAAGACCTTTCTGTTCATTACATCTATCATTGTTCAGTGGAGCTGAATTAACTCTTCAATCAAATGCTGAACGAATGCAAAAAGATGTGAAAAATGTGTGTGTGTGTGTGTGTGTGGAGGGGTGTCTCCCTTCATAATTGAAGTTCAAAAAAAAACCAAAGCAAAGCAGAAACATTCTTTTGCAAATCCCCAAAAACTCTTTTTTAAAAAAAAATCAAGGCAAGCTGAATATTATTAATACTTGAACTATGAAAATACTTCACGAAGAGATATAAATTTCCCAAGTCCAGCCAACATTGGGTATCTGTAGGTGCCGGGGTGATAGTAGAGCTTAATGACATAGTAAGTTTTAAGATATGGCTGTGTATTGTCTGTAATCTGAGTAGATTTCCAGCTGCACTTTGAAAATCCACTTATTTCAGTTTAAAGGAAATGGGTAGAGACTGCTCATGATATAAGTGGATTATTTGTTAGGAAAGACTTATAGCCCCGTGTCCATCATTATCTACTCACCTAATTGTTCACCAATTTCTTTTAAATGATATTTTTGCAAGTTTCGTATCAAGTTTTTCAAGTTTCTCACCTTGTTTCTTCTTGCCAAGTTTTTACCTTGAATGTGTACAAAGAAGTTACTTATGTCTGAGTATGCAAGAGGCTTGAGGTGGTTGAGGTTGAATTTCACTCTTCTAAAATAATTAATTCTTATACCTTATGTGTAGACATAAAATATTTTACTGATACTAATTAATCTTTTACATTTGTTATTATGTTAATAATAACAAATTATTTAGATTCATTATTTATATTAATAAAGCAATCTGGCCCTAAGTTACAGGTATCATTTTGTTTCACCAGACAAGTTGCTCTAACCAACTTGTACTGTCTCTGTTGAGATATGACAAGACAGATGAGTTGAAATTCATACATATATTAAAAATTAAATAGGTAATGCTAGAAAACATCCCTTGTGCTCATTATCAGCAGTCTTCTAGAACTATTTGCAAGGGATGGGATTTTTTGTTTAATAAGTTTTATATAAAGAAGGACAACAATTTGAATTTATGTACGAAGCAGGTTTGTTTTTTCTGATGGAGGTGGAAAGGTTGGTATTTCTCTGAAAATTCATTTGTGCAGATTAAAAACATTAAATTAGCAAGAGTTAAAATTGTCTCCCTATGTACTTAGTGATGGTGTCAGTGACATGTTGTTTTACAACAGAAGAATCAGCCGCTGGCCAAAGCCTTGCTCGAGTGGAGTGTGCTGCTCTAATCCCTCCTAACCACGTTGCTGCTCAGTTTTTGAGCTCTATGAGACACATGGAACAGTGTGGAACTTCCTGAAGTGTGGGTTCCAATTCTCATGTTCCTTCAAACTGTCAAAAGAATGTGACATCCACTTTGCTCAGTTTACCAGCCCAAAAGGGCAACAAGACACCTTTCTCTGGATGGCTCAGTGTGGCAGAATAGGTGGGAAATAAATGTCAGTGGAACAGTCTGTAGGTTTGGAACCCACTGCTGCTGAAAGCCAGGAATAGCTCTTTTGGGGACTGACAATATTATTTTTAGGTGGCCTCACAGCCTCTCACAGACTGTAACATTTTGTTTCCACATGGAAAGTGATTCCAATGAGGAAGATACCAAAGAAATGACTAATTTCTAGTGTAGCCTCAGTTTTGTTGTCTGCGATAGTTGTGTGCATTAGAAAATAGAATAACTATGGTGGTTCATCATATGTTACATGTTTGAAAATGCAGAACTATGCTTTGGTTTTCACTCAGTTACAGCCTCATATTTCTGATGGCATATCTCAGTTTGCTTAATGGAACAGAATGTTTACCTTTACAGCATTTGACAGAATTAAAACACTCTTCTGGAGATTTTTTAAATTTTGTACAGTATACAAACATTCTTATTTCATAATGAATTTTTCTTTACATTTTTGCTGTCTTGCATATAAAACGTTTGCAGGGGAGGGAGAGACAGATAGAAAGAACTGGCATAAATCAAGTGAAACCTTACAATTCACAGAGTATTAGTTCTTAGTGTAGTAGTTTGCAGCAGACTGAGTTATTTATTAAATCCCAATTGTTTATGGCATAGTTCTACTCAGCTTTTCATTTTAAGTGCAAAGCTGAAGCTTTGTGAAAGGAAAAATGCTCTGTGAATAAAAAAAAACATTTAAACAATATAGGGTTTAACAGTAGATTGGGGAGAAAAGAACCTTAAAAATACCACAGAAAGCAAAACAAAAGGCACACAGTACTGAAAAGCCAGATCAAAAATATGCATTAATGAGTATATCAAAGTGGGTTTCATCCTGCTCTGATTACATTGAGTACCAACAGCAATATTGCATAACTAGCTATCAGCATAGCCTTTGGTGGTTCAACTTAGGGGAAAGGAAGGAAGGAAGACACAAAAAGATACTGGTTGGGTAAAAACTGGATAGTGAACCAAGAACAGCCAATGTCTAGAGTTGCTTAATACTAACCAGTAGAACAGAAGAGAATAAGAATATAAAAATAAGTGGAAAGTACAGTCTAAAGTGAAAAATCAACAGCCATGATTCTAGATGTAATATAATATATTCTGTATTTCATATAATTCTATATGGAATGTAATAATGCTTCTGAAATAGCTGAGCTATTGAATTCCCTTTTTAAATGTGCCTTTGAGTAGGAAAAATAAAGGAGATTATTAGGAAGTAAGGAAGACCTTTTAAAATTAAGTATTGATTCACTAAGAGAAAAAGTCATTAAAAGAGAATTAAAGTTGCCTGCCAGCAAATATAGAAGTTCTTAGATGAAGATTGGCACCTGTGAAAATAAGAAAATACGCTCCACAAAATCAAGCAAAAATAGTAACAGACTCAGAAATATTCAGTTAGAATAATAACTCTGCACTTTTGCTCTGCTTTATCTTAAATCTGTTATTTTTCTTTTTTTACCATTGTCATAAAGAATGTTTCCAGAGCATGTCATTCTTCAGTCCACCCCTAAGACGTGGGAAGGCTCAGAAACACGAGAACCTTCCAAGCCTTGTCCCCACCAGCTACAGAAGCCCCTGGGTGGTGATCTTGTTTAACCATGTCCCTTGGTCGGGCTCACTGTTCACTGCAAGATTTTCCAACCTGCTCTCAGGGTTCCTGACCTGTGATACTGCAGCTGGCAAAAGTCCACGACAAAATACTCATACAGAGGTTTAAGATTTTTTATTTTTTTTTTCTGTGTGAGCTGCTGAGCAAGAATAAGGCAGATCAGGGGTATGGGACAAGCCTTCCAATAGCTGCTGCCACCACCTTTAGCTCAAAACTAGGATGGTGTTGAGGGTGGAGCACTTGCTTGATTCCCAAGGGAAAAGAGGTATAGTTACCTGAGCAACATTCCCTTGACCTCAGGTAGAAGTCCATCAGGCTCCCTGGAAGGCCCTGTTCTGATGTGAAAAGCAAGGATCTGCTGATAGCACTCAAATTTTTCTTTCAAGTACCAAAGATTTGTTGTGTTTTGTAAATGGAACTCACAGAACCAGAACGAGAAGTGGAGAAATGACTTTTCCAAGGGCAAAAGAGTCTCCCGGGAGCAGTGAGTTGTTCCTTCCAGTTCTCTACGTGCTGGAACACTCCTTGATACCTTTTAAAAAGTTTGGATATCTAGGGATGAAATGTCTTTTCATCTCTCATCTTTATTTGTGATATAAACAGTACAAATGCCAGACCAGTGCTGGTGATTGTATTTGGTTGGAATTAATGCAGGTGGTGTCTGCTTGGATACATTACCAAGAGCTTCTCTGAGGCAGCAAATACCTCTGGGAACATGATATAGAAATACCACAAATGTTTACCACAGCCCTGCTCCAAAATTTGAGCCAGCACAAAGAGCTGGTGGATTGTTTCTCTTTAATTCTTCCAAAGTTTTACTCCATGAGCAGAACAAATTTTTTTTTTAAACCTTAACACCATATGAGTGGAAGAAAAGGAAAGGGCAACTTCTGTATCCTGCAGTGCTGGGTATAATTCATGTAATTTTTTAATATCATTCCTCTGTTTGTTGCTAATAAGGCAGGCATAATTCTCAATACTAGAGAAGGTTTGGAACCTTGATTAATTTATGTTCACAAAATGCTTTGAGATCCTTGAGTGAAAGGAAGTATTGGAAATAAAAACTGAGGAAAATTAAATCTCAAAATTCATATAAAATTTTAAAAATGTTCGTAACAGGAAAAAACAACCAAAAATATCAATCATTTAGAGTCAGTTTGAACATATACAATCAACATTCAGTACATCTAAGATCACACAAAAAAATAATTTAGTTGTATTAGGAGGAGGTGCACGTATGTATACGAGGTTTTATAACCTACAGATGTCTGTTTGTATAACTTGTTTTTGTGGAAATGACTCTTACTGCAGATACAGACACACTATTTAAAAATTCAGCTGCATTTAATTTTCTGTTCATTTTATCAAATCCTACCTAAAATGTGGGTGATTTCTTTCTAAACTTGATTAAGATTTCTCTGTAACAATTGGCTCCTGCTCTTTGATGGATCCCACTGCTCTTTTCCTGTTTGCCCGAGCCACAGACATATATAAAATGTGGAGAGGAAAATTACAATGAGTTGCTCTGGGGAATTTGCCTAAATTCCTTCCCTGCATCTTTCTTTCCATCCTTCTTCCCTTACTCATTCAAATCATCCCATTTCTGTTTCTTTATAGAGCAGGATTGCAAGAGCCTGTGTTTGGCAATAAGTTACCACAGGTGTGACACAGTGACTGATGGAAAAGCCTCGTTGTGCTGAATGTAGACTCTTGTAAAATCATACTAATACTCCAATAATTATGTTGAGAAAATGGATTCTGTGTGTATAAATTACAAAAATAGTCCACCAGTTGCATTTATTCACAGATTGTGATTTGTGTAGTGTAGTGAAACTATTCTTATTTTTTAAAACTACTTAAGCTGTTGTAACACTGTTTTATCATTGCTTTGGAAGTAGCAAATATGGGAGCACAGATGAGACAGACATTTTTTCATTATATTGTCTGAATTCGTTATTTCAGCTGAATTTTCAAAATAATAATTCAAAGCATAACAGTCAGGTACTTACTGTATAAATGTACAGACTGAGGGAGGACAAAACATTCCTAAAACATTTCTAATACATAAGAAGCAAAAATTGTTGTTTATTATTATGTAATTATTACATAATTTTGTTGTAAATATTTTATTTTGTAATATAGTCTAAGGCATGAAGATAAATATTTAATGTTACTCAAGAGACGTGTATGTAGTGAAGTTTACTGGTGTATTCCTCATCTAAGATATCAGCTAAGTTCAAAATTCAAGAAAAAATGTAAAGTAGAACTTGTCTCAGAAGTTGAGTTCAGGGGTTTGAATCAGATTCCCATCCCAATTCCCAATGCAAAGTCTACCTCCAAGTATTTTGGTCCTGCAGTGAAAAATTATCTGAAGTAATTGAAGTAAAACAATAAGAAAACTTAGTATGACCCCAAAACTGCAGAAACCAAGCCCCATAAAAATAATTTCCTTAAGCAGGTTCTAATGTGTAATTTATGACAGCTCATTTTAAAATTATGAGTTCATGACATGGGATGGTAGGGGATTATATTTTTCCTGGCACCCAAATTCATGCTGCATTTTAGTTCTCCAGAGAATTCAGGCAAATTCAATACCTTCAATCTCTTTTTATTTGTATTGCTTTATACTCATTCTTTCCAGGGCTCTCACAAATGTCAAACGGTTGAATCCAAAACGTCTTAATAAAAGTTCAGAGTCAAGCTTCACTGTTCAGCAGACATCCTTTGATGAAAGCAAATCAAAATGCAGGCATAAAAGGAATGTAGCACCTATGTTTAGGCAGCAAGAAAGGGTCTGTCATTGCAGACTGACCAGTTTTTTGGGGGGATAGTTAAATAAAGGAAAGAAAACCAACCCTCACAGAGGCCACCAGCTGCAGATTCCCGAGCAGCTGATATGTGAACAGCCTGTCTCATTTTTGCCTGATTCAGAGCTGCTCGTGGTGGCCTGCTCTCAATTCCATATCACAGTGATGTGCATAGTTAGGTTGACATGGAGTGGCTCTCACTTTCAAGTCAGTTGTTTTAGGAATGGACAGCAGGGCAAGTGAGGGAGTCCCACACGTGGTGAATAAAATCATGTCATACTGCAGATTGACCTGCAGTCTGCTACACATTGTCAGGACTGGATCATGAAAACAAGTTTAATATCTTCCTCGTGCTTTTAGAATTTGTGCTCCCTCATATCAGCACTCAGGGAAAAAAATTAAAGAAAAAGGGGAAAAATGCTATATTTAGCACTCAAAAACCAGGAGGGAAGAACAGATAAATTTGTATCATCTCTCACCTTTCTCCCTGTGGCAGAGGCCAGACCAAGTGAGCAGCCTGCATTGTCTTCCCTCAGCCTCGCTGTTTATTGCCTCAGTTTGCACTTGGTGACATTATTTGACATCCTGTATGCACATACCTGCAAGCAATATGTGCCTATTATACATTTTTTGGCAGTAATAGCCTTCTATTGGTTTATAAAAATCAAATGATCTGAAATGAGAAAGCGTTTTGTCTCGCTGCCTCTGTGTGTGCTCAGAGGAGCAGCTCCCTGCAAAGGAGGGAGCACATGGGGTATTATGAAATCCTTATTCCTGCCTGATTCCAGAGCTTGTGTGACACAATTGCTGCTGGCAGGGAGCTGACCGGGAGCAGGGAGGGAAATGTCCTGTTCTCTGTGGGAGCGCTTGAAAAAAATCAGGAAGAGCGTTCCTCAAGTGAGCTGACAATTCAAAGCCTGGAGTTCCTAATGAGCTGCCAGGATATGTAAAACTTATGTTTATTCTCGGGGTGATGTGGCATTATCGACTGAACGACTGATTTCCAAACCCAACCTGCTTCAAATCTTCAAAGCCACGAAGGTTTACACGTGTTAGGGATGAAAGCGATTCTGCCAAGCACGGTGGTGGAAGGGGAAGTAGCTTGTAAAAGTGGCTGAAATTGCTTTTCTGCAAAGAGCGAATTTTGATTTGTAAAATCCAAATAGAAACCCCACAAAAGTTGCTGTAGTGACGATGTACTACTGTTACAGTAAAGGCTGACACATCGTGGCCTATTCTTCGTGCTTCAGCAGAATATCTTGGGTGAATGCAGCCTTCCAAAAAAGAAAAAAAGGAAAAAGAGAAAAAAGAAATCAATCTATTAAAGCGAACACTTCAGCAAAAGAGTGAATTTTATTCAAAGCTGAGCGAGCTGATACTGTCCTATTCAGCTCTTTGTTAAGGTGGGGGTAGGTGGGGAAGGCACCACAAGAGCCCCCTGTCCCAGAGGGCGATGGGGGGAGAATTGTAATTGGGACGTAAATCGTGTTTGTGTTATCTGCAGAGCTGGGCTGTGCCTGTTAATTGGCATGCTGAGATCATTTTGAAATGGTTGATATAACACCGTGGTCCATTGAACAGGAAGCTGTGCTGTTTTCACAGTTTGATAATCAATGCATCACTGCACACAATTCCTTTCCAATGTGTGTTTGTTTGTCCTGTTTGCTTAATTGAACAGCTGGAATTACTGTTACATACAACTGAATGTTAATTCATGGAAGAAGAGAATTTTGCTTCTTCATTATAATTTTATGTATAAATTGGAAACCTATGTAACATTAAGTGTTAATTGAGTGCACAAATTCATAGGTTTAATCAGCCAGGCATGATAAATCATATTTTGTACTAAAAAAGAATTGATTATTAGCTGAGTTTGTCTTTTAAGTTCGGCGTTGCTGTATGAATATACATACACCTTGTTTGTAAGAACAATTACTACTTGAAAACTTACAGTGTTGCCTTGTAAAAAAGCCTTATGTTCATCATCAGAGTTCATAGCTTTCTCCTGATCTCTGGGACAAATCTTAAAAGTTGGTGGTGAAAAATTTTATTTAACGATTCACTGAAATATTTCCTTGACGTTGCCCTGAATTATTTCCTACGCATTTTAACCCCTCAGCTGAATTGCAGCATGACAGTACTCTTTCAGCTGTTGTTAAATTTTGCAAAATGTTATTTAAGGTGCTGTAGCAACCCAGTTAGAGCGTGAGTTTGTGTTTCAGGGTGGTTATGCTGCCTACCGGTATGCCCAGCCTGCCACTGCCACTGCAGCTGCCTACAGTGACAGGTAAGACCTCGTTTCCTGCTCATCAATATTTGACCAGTGGAAGTTGAAGATGATTCTATAAATCTGCCTTGTTGAAGTCTCATAACTGTCTTGTTGCTCTGCAGATAATTGTGATATCTAAAGCAGGCTGTTTTATTATAATCCATGAATAGCCACAAATTGAGAGATTTTAGGCCTTAATTGAGAATCAGGCATGAGATGTGCACATTGCCAAGCTGTGGATCATCCAGTTAACATCTGTGACCCTTGTACAATGTAGATAAATATATGTACAGATTCATGATGGTCTGCTGCTAAAGATCATTATTTGTCTAAGGAGTATTATTTCAGTTGATTTAGAACCTTGAACCTATTGAGTGCCCTCAATTCTCATTGACGTTGTTTTAGTCAGTGGAAATTGAGAATGAACTGTGTCTAAGCTTGAACTATCCAATGCAAAACAATATTTTTTTCCATTTGCTTTCTTTCCAGGCATTAGATTTTTTTTTTTCAATACTGAAAAAAAACATGTTTTTTTCTTCTTTTGCTCTGTATTTTTATCCTCAAAATATAAACCGCATTTAGTGGAAATAAGATCAGAAAAGAAACATTATTAAAATCTGCACATGCAAAGACTTAACTTCTATCAACTGAGAGCAATGTCACATATATTAGTGTGTCTTCTTGAAAGATGAAAATTGGGAACCTTTGGAAGTCAATGTCTGAATTGCTGTTGACTTCAGTAGGAATAGGATTTTGTCAAACTGCATAAAATTAAGTCTTTGCAGTGTGTGGGCATGATTTCTGAAATGAGAAGGGAGAATATCCTATGTTTTCTTCACAAATTGTACCTTTAAAATCTATTCTATCTCTAATGATTTTCAAGTACTTGGAGAGTGTACAGTTGTAAAGGGAGGATATATATCATGACAGACAGAAACACACATGTAGTTGATAGCAGCGAGAAGTAAGGTCACACTTCTCAGTACCTGATATAAGAAAATTTTCCCTTGGAATCATGGAAATAATTTCTCAAGTCTTCAATATGTACTGAAAAATTTCTTTAGATGCTAAATTAGACAATGCTATAAATGTTTCTTCTTCTTAAAGAAATCAAGAGATCAAGAAATTTTAGTGCACAATTTCTTAGATTGAAGTGCTGTTCATGGATTCTGTATTTTTAGACCAAAGTCCCATGGTATGAATGTTACAATGCTGTGCATGCATATTTGCCTTTCAAGTGCTTATTATTCTGGGTAATGAAGATATATTTCTTAAAGTTATGTGAATAAAATAATTTGCATGTATGGCTGAGGCATGCTGTGTCAGACAGGTAAGCAAGCTACTTTCTATTAATTTTGGGTCAGTAATTATCAACTAGATTTGTGCTGGATGCACTTTGTTTGCAATGTACTGTTTCTACTTAGGATAACCTGCCCAGGTGAAGTGCTACTCAATAGTCTCATTTCATTTCCACAAAGGTGTGTTAGCATGTTGCAGCTCTAATATTTTTCTGTGAGCTTATAATGCAAACCAAACTCCTCCTTCTAAAAAATCTTACTAAACCAAAAGGACACAATTATAAATAACCTCCTGTGGTTAGTCAGGTTTTGCCAGCTCAGGTGTCCCTGGATCATTTTATAGGGTGTTTATTCCTATGAATTAAACCTATACATTATTTAGAGAAACTGAAAAATACCAAGATGACTTTTAAATGCTTTAATTATGAATCAATGTACCTTCTCATAAAAGAAATCAAATGCTGGAACATAAAATATCAGTTGGTCACATGTTCTGCAATGGCAGGGAGTCAACATCACAAAGAGTTATGCTGCCAAAAAAGGTAAAGGATTTGTTTAGGAAGATAGTGCTCTTAAATGATGTAAAGGAAGCTTGAGATGGAATCAGTAATAATGCAGTTGTTACAATCCTTAATTATTTTTCTGAAAAAATTGTCTAATTTTCAGATACACTCTGTGTCTAATTAGAATTGTAATAACCTGTCTTTGCTTGCATAATTTTAAATATCTGAAATTAATTTTACATCTTTTGGATTTTTTTAATTTAGCTTCTCGTTTTAAACGTGGTTAACCCTCATCTTCGATCTGCTTCCCCCAAATGAATACCTTTCTTGTCTTAATTACAAATCTCGTAACTGAATTTCCTTATGAGAGAATCCCAAAACTAGCATAGACAACAAAACAAATAACAATCTGCTCAAACATTTCTTTGCATGTGGGAAACTATGTGCAAACATGGATACCTCTGATTACTCACAACTGCAGTTTGTTTAATTTGATTAACTTTTCGTTCATTTTTTAAATGAATTTAATTTAGGAACTTTTGTGAAATTACTAATATTGAAAGTGCTGGAATATAGTTCAGTACAACTGCTTCTATCTTCTCAATGTAATAATCATCTGCACTCCTCTGACAACACTGAAGATTCCATATCTCCTTATACACTTATTTAGTGTTCATTTGAACCCCTGTTTAATTTAATTACACTTGAGCTATATTTATTGTTTACATTAAAAAATAATGACCAGAGAAATTAATTGAGAACTAGTGAGTATTTACTATTGAAGCAGTGACATATCCTGGAAATACTATTTCATAGTAAGTTAAAAAGTAAGAAAAGCCTTATTTTTCTGATCACCACTCATATACAGGATGAATGGCAGTGTTCCATATTTGAAATGCTTCTTAAGTCAGGAGATGGAAAGAGGAAATCTTTAGATTGGAGACATGTTTTGGTAAATTAAAAATAAAGGTTAACAGAAAGATTTGGGACTCCAGAATCAATACACCAAGTCAATGGATAATGATCACTGTCAGAGGGCTCTATGTGAAGAAATGCAATGGTATCCTTGTTTGTCACAGTTGGAAATGTTGCTGGAAATAGGCAAGGAACAGATATATAGAGAAGAATCAGGTGGCAAGGAAATATCATTGAACCAATCAATGCAAACCCCGAAGTATTTGTTAAGACAGGTCATGTGCTCATAAACCCAATTTCACAACAGAGGTAGACCTTGCAGATCCCTCCAGTCATTTCTTAGGATCAAACCCACCAAGGAAACAGGTCCATTTTGTTTTATTTTTGAGGCAGTGCAATAGCTGAATATAACTTCAAAAACATTTAGAATTGAATTTTGATACCATGTGATCTATCATCATACTAAATTGCAGTTAAAGATTTGAAGGTCTTTGCATAAGTGGATCAAGGAAAAATCATGTTTAACTTGCCAAGATTTAAAATATTTCTGTTAAGTTTTCCAACTAGTATAACTGCTAAAAGGGGACCTATCGATCTATATATGTTCTTCACCAGTCTGGAGCTTTGCCTGCTAAACTCTTTAAACTGAGCACATTTGGAAACAACAATTGTAAGGATGTGCAAAAGACACTAAATCAGACGTCAGTAAAATATTTGTACAGCTTTTATTCATCTTTCATTCAATATATTTAAAAAAATAATAAAAAAAGTTGTTAGATTTCTGTCCAAGTCTAAAGTAAGAGAAACTAGCCAAGTCATCAAATTTTATATTCATGAGGTAGAACAAGTCAAAGCATGGCAGTGGGGCGTATTGTCATTTTGTCATTGCATGTTCACTTGGTGTTGCTGGTATGTCTGTAATGCTGTACTGGATTTGACAGATCCATCACATAGCTCAGTGAATGGCTTGCTTGAATTAAGCCTATGGGCAGACTTATTCACATTGATTGGCTATTGGTTTTGTGTTCTATGATTTGATTATTGCATCTTCGATCCGAGTACGAAATATGTTCCTTTCTTGCATATCAACTTTGTCAGCAATATTTATGAAAGTGTCTGTGGTAGTGTGATAAAGCAAACCCCTGAGAGCAGTGAGTGTGAAAGGCAGATCATCCCCCTTGTGCTGCTTGCTCCCCCTGTGCCCAGAGCTGTGTGTTTATATATGTATGGTTGTCCATCCATATATACACACACACTCCCCATCCATCACACATGCACACACACACAGATGTACCCAGGGATTGTGCTCTCAGCATAATTCCCTTCTCCTGATACAAATTTAAACCTCACTCCAAACAATGGGAAGATTCCCATTGACTTCTTTGTTGTCTGGATTAGATCCCTCATCACTGGAAGCTGATTTTTTTTTTTTCCTACTATTTTTTTAAAAAAAGAAAAAGGCATATTCCAAAATATTTTGCGCATAGCACTTTGTAGTATAAAATATATTTTATTTTTTTCCTCCACTATCAGTTTGTGTTACATGTTCTGTGGTCATACCTAGGATTTTATATGGAATTTGAGAGAAGAGGTTTTGTCATATGGAAATTATGTATATTCCAGATCTGAAATCTTACTCCTGGTAAAATCCTGACATTCCAGTAATTTACACTTTTAACATGACTACGTGTATTATTCAGTTTTGTCAAAGTAGTAGCTTTTACTGAGTTAGAGTTTAATATATTTTCCAGTTCTCTTTGGGCAAGTAGTTGAGAGTAATACTTGATATTTGTCGTCAGATCATCCTAAAATAGAATAGGTACAGATTTGATTTAATTGGAAACATACTCATTAAAGAATGAGAACTTAGAATGAAGAATAAAAATACACAAAATACAAAATATGAGCTTCTCTAGCTGTTTTTTTAAAATATATTGTAGACTATAGGATCTTCTATTTCATGAATAAACAATGAAAACCACTATAGTTTTATTCAAATTATTTTATCTTATTGAGGATCTTCCTAGAGATATATACTAAAAAATAAGATTTTGAGTGCATATAAAATATAATAACATCTTCAGCCAGAATTTAATTTTCCATTAAATAATTTTATAGAAGCATAAATATTTTAACATGTAGTGCTTCATTCGTTTCATGACTCTACTTTCTAAGATTTAGGAGAAAAAGCTCTATACACAGTTTTAATTTCTAAATGAATCAGGTTAGAAAAGAAAAAAAATTAGAATATAGTGATAACTTTACCCTTCTACTCCCAGCTGGAGTCTTCAGAGCTTTTTGA